CCTCCTTAGGTTTCCAAGGTGGTATCACTACGGAAGTAGATTGCCCAACCTTCCTTCTGAGGAGTGGCTGTTGGGTTTGAACTGCCAGCCTTCTAGTTAGCAGTCGTCAAGTGCGTTAGGCACTATGCTACCAGAGCTTTCAGGGTAGACATAAAAATAAATGACTTTTCACAAGAAAATGGGGAATGCCTCCCTGAGCTTCAGTTTCCTGTAGTCCTGGTAACTGGAAGTTCATGCTTTAGTATTCTTTTCCATGACAGCAGCTTCTACACCCATCAGGTCTAGGGCTACTTCACTTCATTCTTTCATTCAAAAGGCTGAATACTATCTAGGCTCTAACGGGTACTAAGAACACAAAAGGAAATCAATACATAATCTTCCCCCTCAAGTAACTCAGTCTAGTATGGGAGAGGATCATGACAAAACAATATTCAGCAACAGATTAACATACAGGTTAATATGCAAAAATTACGCTTAACTGAGCTGAAACCACACCCACAACAGAGAAGTCAACTTTTCTTCAGCCTAATCACATACTCTAAAGCATATACAAAAGAAATTCATCACCACAAAGAAATACAGAAATACTAGGGAAAGCAGCTGGTGGCAAACTACTATAGTTTAATCCTTAAAAGATAAGCTACCTTGGCAGCATTGATGTTTCCAGATTGAACTTTCTTTCCAGATTCACGCTTTGTGTTCTGGCCTAAGATAGAAAAAAACAAAAGGCAACAGCCCAGGATTACCTACCGCACATAAACTATTTATTTAAATCCTTGATCTTTGGAAATAAACATAGCTTCATGGGTATATATACAGATAAAAATTTTTGATATGTGAGCTTACTGAATGTGAGTTATACATCAAAAATAAAATGTAAAAAAGTCACAGATACTTTTGACTATTTACCTCTTCACTTACTTCAAACCCTGATATACTAAGAAATAATCTGCAAGGCTTCAAAACTCTGGAATCCTGGTCATCACTTTCTCTCTAACCAAACACTCATGTATTTATAGCAAGGACTCATAACCAAAGATCCAGGAATGAGCTTCAGTGGGATTAGTGAACTAAGATTTTATGAGAAAGTGGGTGATAATGCATTTTTTTTTCCAGTGGGAGGATCCACAGCTATCATCAGAATCTCAAAAGTGTGAAGACCCTAAGAAAGTATGGAATATTGCTTTACAAAGATAGGGAAAGTTTTGGGGTTTTTATCTTCCTGCTTGTTAGGGACCATATTCTGATAGTCCTAGTACAATTGATAGTGTCCCTTTTCACTCTCCAAAGAGTGTACTGCTTTGCAAGATAAATCATATGGTTATCCCATGGTTGGAGGTAGTAAGGATGCCTCAGTAACCCATTCACTACCCTGAGAGCCAACTACATATTTCAATATGGAGCTTAATCAGTTACAGCCACTAATGCCAGGGATTAATGCAGACCTAAAAAGGGCTTCACAAATGCGCCACTCACCCCAGGGCCCTCTTTTTTTTTTTTTAAATTGTGATTTGGGTGAAAGTTTACAGAGCAAATTCATTTTCCATACAGCAGTTCACGCACACCTTGTCTCATGACACTGAGTACAATTTACCACAGTGCAACAGCTCCCCTCCCACTCACTTCCTCCTGATAGTTA